AATAAATCCAACTATTAACTTCCCCCAAGAACTCATGGCTTATTTCTCTTATGATTAAATAAAAATTCCCCAGGGTGACTAGGTACCTCCATAGGAATATTGCAATGGCATTTCAGAGTCAGACATGGATGACAGGCCAGGAGAACTGTGGATATTCCCCTTGTTTTTTCTGTCTTTCCAAGACAGCCTGTTTATGGGTCTCTCTCATTGGCGGTTGAATGGTGAAACCAAATCAACTTAGCATTTGCCTTAACTATGGAGAGTAAGATGGTTCTTTTCAAAGGTAATGTGGAGATAAGGCAGTACAATATCCCTTTAAAATCAGATGGAAAGCAACCGGAACAACCTCAATGTGATAATAACATCCATAACATTGAGTTTGGGACCTAAAAATCATCCTTTAACTTTCAAGCTTTCCTAATGGTGTTTTGGCTTATCTTTGCCAGAAAAGAAAGAGTAAGAAGCTGAAGGGCTAGACTGATTAAGAAGGATTCAGTGGGTTTGAAGAAAGGATTTGCTTTTGGGGAAGTCATCCTTTCTCACAAGGGCTTGCAATTCCGGTCAGGTGGTCCGTGTCCAAATTGCACAGATGCTGAGCTTTGCAAGAGGAATGACAGACTAAATAGGGAATTGAACAGTGTGTGAGGCAGAATCTATCCATCTGGAACTAGCAACCCAAGACAAGGATTGCCTTAGGATCTGCAATTTAGATGCTAAGCATGAAGAGTCTTCCTAAAACACAGTGGAACATCTTGGTTCAGAAATTCCAGAAAAGCGTTGTTACAGCTAATGTGACTAACACCGACCTTCTGAGCATGGTTCGTGGAAGAGCAGTATATTGCTTCTAAGATAAATACTAAGCATCTGGGCAGCTGTTTCTCTGTGAAACTTGAAATTAGAGTTTCAAGTGTATTGATCAAATTGACAGTGAAAAACAAGTGACAGCAAACCTTGACAGGAAACGCTTTGAATCCTAGTAAATGTTTCTGCAACCGGAAGAGACACTTGGATTGGAAAATTAGTCTCATTCGTGTTTTACCCCTTTACACATTCCCTACGTTATTATGTAAAATATTCTTCCCAAACACTTCTGCAGTTTTTCATGTTCTGCTCTCGTTTACCCATGACTCCTACGGGGAACTGACAGGCATGGTAGCCAAAGCATTAGCACTCTACGAGAGCTACTCTGTGTCAACCAGAAGTGAGAGATACTTTTTTTTTATTTTACAATACAATTTAGTTCTACATATCAGCCACGGATTCCCTTGTTTCCCCCCCTCCCGCCCCTCTCCCCTTCCCCCCAGCCCACCCCCCCATTCCCATCTCCTCCAGGGCAAAACCTCCCCCAAGGACTGAGATCAACCTGGTAGACTCAGTCCAGGCAGGTCCAGTCCCCTCCTCCCAGGCCGAGCCAAGGGACCCTGCACAAGCCCCAGGTTTCAAACAGCCAACTCCTGCAATGAGCACAGGACCGGGTCCCACTGCCTGGATGCCTCCCAAACAGATCAAGCCAATCAACTGTCTCACCCATTCAGAGGGCCTGATCCAGTTACTTTAAAAGATACCTTTCATGGTTTTCAAAAAAAAAATGTTCTCATAATCATTATAGAGAAACATTCCTATCCTTATTCTCCTTAATAAATGACAAAATTAAATTCTCAGTTAAGTAATTTATTCAAGGTCATCAGTGTACTAGGTGGTTGAACCCAGACTGAATTTGAACTTCTTTTATTCCAGAGTGTGTTCTTTGCATTGCCATGGATTGTGTGGCAAGCAAGCTAATTAGAATCTTCTGTAACAGGAAAATCACTCTCTGATGAGATATGCCTCTCTTAGCTAATATTGGGCTTTGACTGTAGGACAGACATAGAGAATGTTAAGATTTGAAGTGCTGGACATTCGGGTGTTCTGATTAGAGCATATTTTTAAGAGCTCTATGCACTGTGACACCCATTCTTTGTCTGAAATTATCAATAAATATTTTATAAACATTTAAATATTAAGAAAAGACATATTTCTTCATATAGTTACCATAGCTGGTGCTCATATTCACATTTTATATGTCACTTTGCCATAAGACTAATGCATTTTATCTTTCTTATTGAGTGTGGATCTGAAAAATCACTTCTACTTACACACTAAAAATGCCTTTATTTAACCATTTTGAAGGCTGTTTGCTGCTTATGGAGACCAAGGTTGACTTGTCTTTTTAAAAAGTACTTTACAGTTGTTGTTCCACTGTCTTTTTATTGCATCATATCCAACAAAAATTCCTATATTCATTGTTTTTGTTTTTCTACATACAACATTCTTTCTTCTTTTGCTAGTTGCTCATGGTATTTTCTTTTCATTAAAGGTCTTGAATAAAGTGAAATAACTATGATATGCAGTGGCATTTTCATGCATGTTTCTTGTGTTAGGGCAGTGGTTCTCAACCTATAGATCGTGGCCTTTTAGGGGGTCGAGTGATCCTTTCACAGGGTCGCCTAAGGCCATCAGAAAACACAGATATTTCGATTATGATTCATAACCATAACAAATTACAGTTATGAAGTAGCAACAAAAATAATATGCTGGTTGAGGGGGTCACCACAGCGTGAGGAACTGTATTAGAGTCGCAGCATTAGAAAGGTTGAGAACCACCGTGTTAGGGGCTTTGGGAAATTTTGGATTTATCATGAAATTTCAATTTTTTTTTTGTTACTACTCATTTGTGTCTTTTTCTCCCTTATTTCATTGTCTCTCATTTAAGAACTCTAAAAGTATATCAAGTTGTAAGGAATCATGTCTCAGCTTGCTGTTGTTTTGCCTGTGTTATTTTAGTTGTTTTAATAAGAAACGTTGTGGCTCATTTTGGTTTCTATGTTTTAAAGCTTATTTATTTAATTCTCATGTTTAATCTGTTGTTGAGGCCATCTAATTTAGTGTAGTATGTCCATCTCCACAAGGTTGGCTCGTCTTTATTTTGTTCCACATCTCTAAACAATGGTGTTTTGGATATTTGTTTTTGAACATTAAAAAATGGCTTTTTGGATATGTCGTTCAATGTTCAACATAACCTAATTTTAGATCTTTTTTTTATTAACCCCCTTAAAAGAAACTCTTTATTCCTTTCCAGTTCCTCTCATTAATTTGTCTGTACCCTACTTCTTGTCCTCTCTCCCACCCCTTGTTCAAGTATTCATCCACTTTCTACTTGCATAGACTTGCTTGTTTGGATATCCCATATAAAAGAAATAATAAAATCTGAAAAGGTTCTTTTCCATACCTGGTTTCTTTCACTTCATTTTTTTTCAAGGTTCTTTGCTAGTTTGCCATGTACGAGGACTCATTCTTTGTTATTGTCAATTTGCATTACATTGACAATATGTACATTTAGTTCTTGTCATTCCTTATAGCATGATGTCTTTGTTCCACTTTGGGTTCTTACAGACTTTGTGTATTGTATGCATTTTGTTTATATTTTGATTTCTTTTGTAGTTATACTTGGGAAATGATGGCTCATTCCATCATTCTATGTTTCACACTTTGAGGAAATGCTTGTTTTCAAATACACGTGTCATATTACATTCCCAACAGCAACATGAAAGTTCCTCTCTCCCACATTTGTGCCACATCTTGCTTTCTGTTACCTCTCCTCATTCTTTGGAACATATAGATTTACTTACAGCTGCTTGCTTGTCTGCTGTCTTAACATACATTTCAATTCTCATTCATGACTTATTTTTCTAGTAATGAATTTTCTTTTAGTCAAGTTGGTAATAACTAAGTGAGGATCAGATATTGTAAAACGAACACATTGCTTGGTGACTTGCAACTTCATAGTCAATATTGCAGTTTAGTCGGCCACATATTTAAGTGATTGTTAAATCTCATTCTTTTAATCGGCTAGGTGGTACTACAACAGTGCCCAGTCTAGGGTTAATTATTGCTACTTACAGGGCAACACTTCCTAGAGGTCTATCATTTTACATAGATGATCATGCATCTCTCAATCCCAATTTGTGAAAATGTGAAAGCCTGGACTTAACTTTACAGGCTCAGGAATACGCCATGATAACTCGAACGGATACAGAGCAGTATCCTCCTGCAGACATTCTGTCTGCTGTTTAAAGGAAAGCCTAACAGGATCCAGATACTCCTGCAGACATCCTGTCTGCTGTTTATACAGGAGAGGAAAGCTTAACAGGATCCTGTCTGTGGTTTATGACCCTTGGAGATCTCTAGATAATCCTGCTGAGCAGTCCAGATAATCCTGTTCAGCGGGTTGTGGTTCCCCGCCAAAAGTCTAGACCAATAGTTTCAAAAAAATCACCTTGACCCTTCTACCCAATCCCAAATTGCCAATTCCCAGCTTGTGGTTTATTCCTGATAAAACCCCTCTACACCTGGGCTCATGGCCATGGCCATATTTCCTTCCATCTACCTTGAGGCGGCCCAGGTTGAACATGAATAAAAGGACCCTTATGTGCTTGCATCGGAAACCGGCTCCTTGGTGGTCTCTGGGGGTTTTGTACAACAAAAAAACGGTAGCCAATACCGACTCCGCTTAATCTCCAATCACCTTTAACAACCCTTTAGGGATTTTCCCTTGATGTTGCTCAGGTCTCAACTGAATATTTCACAAACCTGAACCTCTAGGAGCAGTTTTCTCTCCCTCCCTCTGGCACTCTGTCGACAGTAACCCCCTCAGTTTCAGCTGGATCTTCTCAACACAGGAGACCCAGCTGCTTCTGCTGGGGTCTGTGAGAACATCTGTAAAAGCACAATGTTTTGCACGCTTACGATTTAAAAAAAATGCCTTTTCTCAGTCGGTTGCAATTACCAGAATGAGAGGTCTCTCGCTCTTTTGGCCTCCAGGGCCAGGACTCCCTATCGCGCAGGCGCAGAGCCTCCCGCCAGCCCACACGCTCCAGCTACATCTGCGCGTGCGTCGAGGGCGGGTCCGGAGTCGGCACTTGGCCAATGAAAACAAGATGACGTTCCTTAGGTTCCCGCCCACCAACCCAGCAGCCAATCGCTTGCCTAGGCGCGCAGTTCCGGGAAAATCCAAAGGCGCCATCGCTGAGGAGCCATGGCGGCTGCAGAGAATGGAGCTGATGCTGCTCAAGAGTGAGTGTGGGCGGCGGGCGGCTGGGGCGGGCGGCGGCTCTGCCCGGTGGCTGTGGCCGGTGGCTTAGGAGGGTCGGTGTCACCCTGGTTTAGGAGGGCGACCTCTGAGAGACGGTTTCGCTCTTGATTTAGGAGTTCAGGCCCTGAGGGGCGGTGTCCCTAATTCAGGAATGCAACTTCTGGGGGGACTGACTTCTCTGTTTCAGGAGAAATACCTCTGGGTGGCTGTCCTAGGTCACTTTATGTCAGGTGCTGCCTTTGAGGGACTGCCCCTTGCCCGTCCAGGGCCCCTGTAGTGCATTCTAAAAGAATCAGTTCCATTACAGTTTGTCCTAACCAACCAACCCTTTGGCATTCTAGGAGACTTGTTTAATTTCTGTCACAACCCTTTTCGTTGGCGTGTTTTGTACTTATATCTGTCCCCTAGTGGATGGTTCCAGCCAGTAAGGAAAGGCTGGGCAATGCATCAAGTCTCCTCAGTGTCCCTCATCATGTGTTTTGAGAGGAGCCCTTGCTAGGATGACTCCTAAGGCTCACCTCAGTTTTGTCTTTTATCTGTTTCTATGTATGTGTCCCTGGCTACTTTCAGACTGACTCAGGTAGCTTTTATCCAGTGAGACACTCCCTATTTAAAAATGTAGCCACTTTAGCACCCTCCTTATCCCCCAGTATTCCTGATGGCTTTCCTCATGACACTTGGTTACCATTGCATGTTCTCCAGGCACAGCGTAGTTCTTCTGATCCCGGTCTGGAGCCCCTTCCGGTCCTGGTGTAGACTTTGGTCAAGTTGGGACCCTGAGCGTTGGCACAGCCCCCTGTTGCAGAATATTATTTTGACTGGGCAAAGATGTGTTACATTTGTTTATGCTGTGGAATATTTCTTTAACTGTGTAAAGGTGGGTTACATTTGTTTCCTGCTGCTTTTGTGAACGATGTAAAGGTGTGGTTCATTTCTTTAATGATGAAAAGACGTTTTGCTGTTTCATCTTGCTTGCTTAAGGCACCTGGTTGGCTTAACAAAGAGCTGAATGACCAATAGCTAGGCAGTGAGGAGACATGTGGGGCTGGTGGACAGAGAGAATAAATAGAAGAACTCTAGAGAACAGAAGAGAGGAGAGAGTGAGGGAGAAAAAGAGGGAGATGTCCAGGGCCAACCAGCAAACACAGAGTAAGAAAGAATGAAGGCAAAAAGCCCCAAGGCAAAATGTAGGTGAAGAGAAACACATTAATTTAAACTAGAGAAAAGAAAGCTAAGCAGAAACGAGTATAAGCTCAGGCCGGGCATTCATAACTAATAATAAGTTTCTGTGTCATGATTTGGGAGCTGTTTGGTGACCCAAAAGAAATCCTGGGACAGTCCCCAACATATATGCATGTGTATATGTCCTTTAGAGGTAGTGTGCTATGATATCATGGTCCCACTTGTTTTCTACAGGGTCCTGGCTGAGGTAGCAGTCATTCTAGAACCTGTAGGCTTGCAGGAAGAAGCAGAACTGCCGGCTCGGATCCTGGAGGAGTTTGTGAAGGTATGTACAAGGTGGGACCCAGCTTTTCAGAGGGTAACGGCTGGTCTTAGGATTGCCTATTGAGATTTCAGGCAGCAGTGTGGAGGAACAAAATGGAAGATGATCTTGGCATAGAGTGCTCGAAGGTAAGGAGAGTCCCTGCTTCTGTCCCCACTCTGACTAGAACTCTCGGAAGAAGGACAAGCTGCTTTGTAGCCAGCTGCAGGTAGTGGACTGCCTACAGAATTTTCTGGCTCAGGAGGATACTGCCCAGAGCTCAGACACTTTGGTCTCTGAAGACATGAGTCGTGAGTAGGCTTGGATTTGTGGTAGGGTCTGGTCTGAATGGTTGAAGAGGGAGATGTGAGTGATGTCTGTGTCTAGCTAATGGGAAGACTGTGGCCAAGTGTTTTGGAAGGCTTGCTGCAGGCCACCCTCACTCATGCTCTCCTTCTTTGTGGCCCATCTCAGGACGCCAGGCAGCTGAAGCTAAAGAGCGATGGAAGGAACTGAAGGCCACATACCAGGGCCATGTGGAAGCCATAAAATGTGCCCTGACCCAGGCCTTACCCCAGGTAGAAGAGGTCCAAAGGAAGTACACAGAGCTCCAGGAGGCGTGCGAGCAACTTGAGACTAAGGTACACCTAGAAGACTTGAGGGGATGAAGGGCAGGAGGAGGGGAGGGGTAAGCTGGGTTGGACTTTAGGCACCGTCTCCACAATCAAACCTCCGAAGTCAACCTTTTCTCCCCGCAGAAGCGAGTCATCGAGGAGAAACTACAGACAGCTCGGAAGCAGTGGCTGCTGCACCAGGTGGGCTCTTGCTCTTCTCTAGGCTCTTTTCTGCCTCCGAATGGTGAGGTACCTCTTTCTGTCAGTGAGGGTGAGCCCTGAGCTCTGTCCAAGCAGGGGAGATTGGAGGTGTGACTCCAAGGGAGCAGCATCCCATGAGTCATGTCTGCACCCTCACCCCCATCAGAAACGTCTCCAGAGTCTGGTGAAGATTTCTGCAGAGGTCAAGGAACATCAGGCGAGAGCTCAGCAGAAGCTTGACCGGTCAAATCAGGAACTGGAAACCTTGAATCAGCAAGCAGGAGAGGAGCAGGATAAGCTGCAGAGGTGAGGCTGGAATCCTGGGTGGGAGACTCAGGCAGTCTGCCCGATACTACTTTTCACTGCACACAAACTCTGTCCTTTTAGGACCCAGACCTACCTCCAGCTACTGTGCACCCTGCGGAATAAGCTGCTGGTACTCGAAGCCAAGGCTGAGGACAGGGACATCACAGGAAATGCCCTTCCACCTGAATCTCTCTAAAGGTAAGCCCCATCAGCTGACCAAAGAGCACAGCAGAACAGGGAAACCGTGGAGGGGCAGTAGTGTGTCCTTCCAACTGAATTAAGAGTTGATTCGGCAGATGCAAAGAGGAGCTGGGGACTTGATCTGACTCATTGTCCAGATTATATATCAAGGCCAAAGGCCCACACCCTCAAGTGATGACGTTCTGGGTGATGGTAGAAGTATGCACGACTCAGAATTTGGTGTCCTTTAATTTGCAAAGTTGAAAGGGAATCCTCTCCATCTGAACTCTAGCTCTGAGGGAACAGGAAGTGGGAGGGTAGGAAGAACGTGATTGTAAGAATTTCTGTTGTGTTTAGGAAAAGATAATGCTCTTAAATGCATTTTTAATGTTTTTAGAGAATGCCATTCATAATAATTGCTATTTTTTGATTAGACTGGAAAAATAGTTATAGCCTCAATGTGGTCTTTGTTTAATGTTTCCTAGGGGTTTGGAATTATTTCTTTTAGAATTGTGTGGTGTTTCCTTTGGATTGTGTGTGTTAATTTTTTCCACTTACATTTTTAATGTGTTTGGTTTTTTTGAGGTCTGAAAAATTGTGTTCAAGTTTTCAACTATGATTGTTAATTTACTTATTTTTCTTCATAGTTCTGTTGTGCTTGATGGTATTTTCATCACTTACCTAGGCTCTTCTGTACCTGTCCTTTACCATTATGTACTTGCCCTCCTTATCTCTACACAAATACCTTTGGACTTATAGTGAAGCATTTTTAAAATTAATGTAACCTTGCCAGTTCTCTTTGCCTACCTTTTATCTGGCTTACCTTTGTCTGGATTTCAATTTTGAGTTTCAACCTTTTTTTTTGTTTGTTTGTTTTTTTCGAGACAGGGTTTCTCTGTGTAGCTTTGGAGCCTATCCTGGAACTCACTTTGTAGACCAGGCTGGCCTCGAACTCACAGAGATCCTCCTACCTCTGCCTCCCAAGTGCTGGGATTAAAGGCGTACGCCACCACCGCCTGGCAGAGTTTCAACCTTTTTTAATCCTATCATTTGTCACTTGTATGCAACATTTTTAGGGCTTCTTTGAAAAATTGGTTTCAGTCGCACTTTAAGATTTCATAATGCTCAGTTTATAATTACTGTAATTTCTATTTTAATTTTCTTTGTGCCTTAGTTTTAATGTATTGTCTTGTTGTATCTCTTTTGTCCTTTTTATTGCTTAGAAGCTCTGTAAGTTCAGCTATCATTAGCCTAAAGTTAATGTGTAAGGAATATTGATCCTTTTCTTAAACACAGAAAGAAACCCAGAAGGCATTACTATTGACCTATCATCCCACTTTTAACTAATAAAATACAATTGTTCATCATACTACTTCTAGCCTGTTTGTATTTTCACATATTAAAATTTTAGTCATTCAGTGCAATATTCACATCTACATATGAATTTACCATTTACTTTACCTTGATTTTACATTTTATTGCTTTCTTATAGAGTAACTTCATCATAAAGAAATGTCTAATAATTTCCTTTAGAGTTGGTCTTAGTTAACTTTTCTATTGCTGTTAAGAGACACTGTGCCCAAAGCAATTTAAGGAAAGCATTTAACCTAGGGCTTCCTTACGGTTTCAGACCGTGAGTCCATGACCATCGTGGCAAGGAGCATAACAACAAGCAGGCATGGCTCAAGAGCTGGCAGCCGAGAGCTTACATCTAGTCCATAAGCAGCAGGCAGAGAGGAGAGACTGGGACTTCTGGTTTGGGCTTTTAAAACCTCACAGCCTCACAACCTCACTCCAGTGACCCATCTCCAAAAGACCACACCTCCTAATCCTTCTCAAATAGTTCTACCAACTAGGGACCAAACATTTAAATATGAGCCTATGGGGCCCATTCTCATTCAAACCACCACAGAGTATAAAGACTGTATAGCTTGAATAATTTTGTTTCCTCCTCAAAGTATTCCCTCATACTTTTCTGACTCTAATTGTTTCCTATGAGAAATCAACTGCAAATTTCAAAGCTCTTTCTAGGGTATGCTTTTCTTCTTTTTTTTTTTTTAAACTTTATCAAGGTAAAAATAGAAAAACAGTGTATAGTATAAAGGTATACAACATGTTTTGATATAGGTATATGCTGTGAAATGATGAAATCAAAGCCAGTAGTAGTTATTACTTCACACTTTTCTGCATTGAGACTACCCAAGATTCACTGTCTCAGCAGTTTTTACCGTACAATAAATCAACTGGTTACTGTGTTATACCCAGATTGCCAGAACTCATTCATGGGTTCTTAAGCTCACTGTCTGCTCGCAGAATCTAGTGTTTTCTACTTTGTCATTTTATTATGTTGTGAATAGTTTGGGATTTACTTTTACTTGCCATTAATTGAGCAAGTACCAGCCTTTCAACAATTCTAGACTATTCTCAGCCTAGTCTCTTAGGAATGGACCTCGTTGTGTTAGTCTAAAGGAGCATTTAATATTTTTTAAATGTCATTGTAGTTGTATGTTGGTATCCATTATTCAGTCATCATGAATTTTTAATTTTCATTTCAAGATGTTATATATAAAGCCCAGTATACTTTTAGTTGTTTATTTTTCTGTGTTAAGAATGATGCCCACAGAAATCTTGTCATCGCTCTTGGCTAGGTTACTAGTTTACAACCTTGGTACACTGCCAATATTGCATGCTGCCATTTGTTTATGTTTGAGTAAGCTCACTGTGAGCTCTCCTCTTCCTGACCTTTGTCTTTGGCAATACTTTGTGCCTCATACACAGCTGAAAGGATTCTGCCAGTGGCTAATGGGTACCACCAGTGTAACTTGTACAAATTTTAAAATACATATTTGTGCTATTCTTTATATCTGCATATATCTGCATGCTACCTAGTTTACGTTCTTGCTGTCTGGATGTTATTTCTCTTTCTCATTAGTATTTCCCAAGGGGCTTTTATTTCTTTTGTTTGTCTAGCTGAGGGTACTCTAGCTGAGGGTACAAATAATGGTAGGACACTTGCTTAGTATATACAAGGCTCTACAATTAATCCATAGCGCCACAAATGAAGGGGAGTGACGGGACATTTCAAACTTTGGCCTTTTTACAGCTTTTTTTCTTCTTTTAACTCACTCTTTTTTTAAATTATTTGTTATTTCCTTTCTTGCGACATATTTTTAATATTTGTATAATTTAGATAATTGGTAGATTAAAAAAATGCCCTTTCTTCGCTGTGTAGGGTTATATATTTTATGAAGCATTATTATTTTATAATTTTGTTCTTTCTAACTTAGTTACCTAAAAGTACACTAAATTATCAGTCATAACATTAGAAATTCCTGCTAACTTTGAAAATGGAAAATCTCGTTTCATATACTGTTAGTCCTCTCCCATTTTCTGGCCTTTCAGAGATGTGTTGCACAAATTCTAATTGGTCTTATAATAAAAACCTGGAGCCAGGTAATGGGAGAAATGCTGAAAGATCAGAGGAAACAAACCACAGCTACTTCTCACCTGGCCAACTCCTCAGCTGAAAAGGGAAGGTCCTGTCTCCACGAATCCTCAGACTAAATGTCCCTGAGTCCTCCAGGGTGCTGAACTCCTGTCTCCTCCCATCTTATATTCCTTTCTCTGCCCAGCCATGTCACTTCCTGTCTCAGCCTTCCTAGTGCTGGGATTAAAGGTGTGTGCCACCACTGCCTGGCTTTGTTTTTCTTTTAGACTGGATTAATCTCCTGTAGTCCAATCACTGCCTCCCACGTGCTAGGATTAAAGGTGTGTGCCACCACTGCCTGGCCTCTATGTTTAATCTAGTGGCAGGCTCTGTCCTCTGATATTCAGGCAAATTTTATTTGTTAGACTACAAACAAAATATCACCACAGAGATGAGTACATTTCATCCCTTACAGAATCTATGTAACTTGCATTAAAATGTCTTCTTTGTGTGTGTTTTATGCATAAGTTATGAAATACTAGTGGAGTGTGAAATTGAATACATTGATTTAATCATGATTCCTGGCCCAGTCTTTGAGTGACCCATTTGATACTTAGATTGTTGGGTTACGAAAAACTCACTGTTCGGATTCTTAGTCTATTAACTGACAAACATGCTTCACTGACACACTTGGCACTAGAATCAGCATCCCTTAGGAGTTTTGAAGCCTTTTTCAAATGTCTTTTGAGAAGCATAAATTATCCTACTTTAGTTGAATTAAGAGCAAAGTTCTAAAGTCTTTTTCTTTGTGATACATCATCTCTTGCTTTGTAGGCCAGAATGGCCTTAAATTCCTAGTCTCCTGCATTAGCCTTCTCATGGCTGAGATTATACCTGTTTACCAACACGTCTTGCTAAAAGACCTCTTCATGGAATCTATAATATGTAAAGATTGGTACCATATTTTTATACATCTGTCAAATTATGACAGAATTTAACTAGTCCAAAAAGTTTTCATACTAAATTTTTTATCATTGTGTATCTCAGCCATAGTTTTATGTTCTACATGTATGTGGAAAGAAAATAGTGTCTTTGAGGCAGAGTCTGGTCTTGATCCTGGATTAACTGGATCAGATACTGTAGTATTAAATGGGTAATTTAAAACAGTCTATTTAACGAAGCATAGTATCATATCTTACTGTTTGTGTTCAGAACTCCAAAATTGTTAGAAATAGATAGGCTGTTTCTAATTTGAAAATCTCTATTCATAACAATAGCTGCATTGCCTATTTCAACATGTCATGTACAATCTGAGAGGAAATAAGAGTAAAAAGAAACACTAAGCTCATTGTATGAGTTCAACCACAGAGACACATAATGTACATGTACATGTATGGCATATGTCCATGCACACATGCACATGCATTGGGCAGGGAACCAGATAAGATGGAGCAAGGGTGTGACAACTTTCTTTACAGTAGGTTTCCTTTTTCAGATTTCTTCTCCATACTCCTATGTACAAGACCCTACATACTTTTGTCATCAAAAATCAATATATACTTTGATTTGTGATGTATTCATACTTGAAGAGTATTTGGCAAATATTCATTATATACTATTAAGGGAAGACTAACTAGAGAGCTGGGGAGTTTTAGCTCAATTTCAAGCATGTAATTACCTGGAGGCAAATATCAAATATTTATTGAAGGTGTTGTATGCTGAACATAAGTCCTGAGCATTGAAGGCAGTGGTCCTGTACTCTGCAAGCTTAAATTTAGAAATGGAAGAGAGAAATTAATTCTATCAAAAAATGATAATACCTTCTACCATTTAAGGCTAAGAAACAGAATGATTTGGCCACATCAAGGATGATTACATTTATCAGGCTGAAGAAACATTAAGAATGGAATCAGGAATACTAGGAGCCAAGCAGAGCTTGGAGCAGAGGTTATAATATGGTAGAGGAAGTAGTGAGTCTCTACGAGCTTTTACCATCGTGGCTACATAGTCAGAGCCTTCATCCAGAATATAGAGAACCTAGTGAAGTTTCTTACTTTGGGAAAATATCTTCAATTGCATTTTAATTCAGGGAAATCATCAGTGTTTCAGTTCTTGGCAGAATGGGCATCAGAAAAAAAAAAAGTGCTTCCATTCGTATTGCTTTTGGGGACTATAGAATGACAGTAGCTGGAAAGCTGAAATCCGCTTCAGGCAATTAGATACTACCTGAAAGCAACATTGGAGTGGCATCCGGATGGAGCCTCTTATTTTGGAATGCAGCTATGTTGAAAAGCCTACTTTAGAAGAATACAGTGTAGCTGTGAGCTACAGCATATTATCAGGGATAGTGAGTAAGGCAGTTGAATGACACTTATATTCCTAGATGGTGTTAGTTATCAATTAAAAAGCAAAAAGATACCTCTGGAAAAGAGAGAACTACCTACTTTTGTAGTTCATACTTCATGGTAGTAGTCACTAAGGGCTCATGAATGTTGGAAAGCATTTTTAGCAATGCAAAATTACTCATTATGTCTAATAATCTACCTATCAAGGATGTAGGAATTAATTGAATATATGAAAGGAAAAGAACTGCCATCTGTATATAAGCATTTAAGTAAGAGCTATGCTTATAATAATATTATAAATAATAATTTTAGACAATGGGTGTGGTTTATCAGTCATAACTTTAATACTTAGATTCAACAATATTCTTAGGTTCCTTAAATTTAAAGCAAAGAGGAAATTTCAAGTTCCGCTGTCATCCTTGGTACTAGAAATAAGCTTTTTAAATTTATTTTGAGAAATTAAAAATTTTATCCAGTGGCATCAAGGAGATGGCTCAGTTGGTAATGTGCCCGCTGTGAGAGCCTGAGGAGCAGAGTTCAATCCCTTGCATCCGTTTCAAACATACTGGACATGGTGACAGAAGTTGCTTGTAAGCCCAGTATTGTAGAGGTGAAGACAGGTATATCCCTGGGGCTCTGAATTAGCAAGCTACAGATTCAGTGAGAAACTCTTATCTCCCCCAAACAAGGTGGACATCAGCTGAGGAGGGATGACACCAAAGTCTGTCCTTTGAAATCCACACACATGCACACATAAGTGCATGCACACGGACACACAAACACACATCCACATGCATACAAGTTACCTAAGGGAATACTTGATAGCATTATGGGAGTTTTTATTGCCTTTATCTCTTTTTCACAGTCCCAGAGATCTTTAGTAACTATTTCCCCACCTCAGTTAAGCCCCCTTGGCATGCTGGGTGGTGATTGAAACAGTGAGAGTTACTAGAAACATGTATCACAGCAAGAAAAGGGAAGGGTAGTAAATAGGTCATTTACTAAGCATCACTGCCAGTGTTTTGTTGCTGTGGTACCTGAGATAAACAAGTTGAAGGCACCCAAATCTGGGCTCATGATTTCAGACTGCAGTCAGTTGTTCCCATGCTTCTGGGGATGTAAAAGGTCTCTGGGCCTGCTGATGTTGTGTGGGTATCATTGCAGAAGGGTGTAATGGAAGAGAGTACCTCACCTCATAGCAACCAGGAGAGGGAGGGTGCATATATGCCTATGAGTTCATGCTCGTAATTGCTAACACAGCTATACTCTTTAAGGCATACTCCCAGTGATCCACTTCCTCCAACTAGGTCCCACCTCCTAGTCCATTCAGCTAGATTGATCCCTTGGTGAAAGTAAAGCCCTCATGATCCAATCACCTCTTCACTACCAGTCAGGTCCTAGGTCTTCAGCACATGAGCCATTCTGTGGTCTATTTCATATCTAATGCAGAACAGAAACTATAGATTGTGTATCTTTTGAGGAAAGCTAAACAGATTTAATATGTCCAAAGCATAACTTGTTTTGCATCTAATTAAATTATTTAAATTAAACGTTTCTTTGGAAATTGAGCTCCCCAAAAGTAGAATATGATTTAAGGTAAATATTTGTCTCAAATTACTTTTCCATAAAATACAAACATGTTTAAAATGTTTTTGTATTTAATATTACTTTGTAAATTTAGTTATGAAGCTAGTACATTTTGTTTTCTCTAGGTGTCTAGTCTAATATAGAAGAATTTTGTATGTGTATAAAATTACATATGGGTTTATACATATGCAGTATATGTGTGAACTGTCAGGCATCTGCCTTCTAAATTTATTCTGCTATGAGCCGGTGATGGCACACGCCTTTAATCCCAGCACTCAGGAGGCAGAGCCAGGCAAATCTCTGAGTTCAAGGCCAGTCTGGTCTACGGAGTCTACGGAGATCCAGGATAGGCACCAAAGCTACACAGAGAAACCCTGTCTTGAAAAACAAAAAAAACAAAACAACAAAAAAATTATTCTGCTTTATTCTTTCAAGACTCATTTCAGTCATGAAGACACCTGGAGACTATAGGAATCTTGTCTAACTTCACTGCAGTTTTGATTACTACCAAGTTTACTGTATTTCTTTTTTACTGGGTTTCCTATTCATTTGTTTACAAAGAAGCTAAATGACTCCTTGGTTCAATTTTTAATTTTGTGTCAGGAGCTGTGTTTACATTCAATGCTATGGTGTATTTCAAGAGATGTTTGCTTCTTGGAAGTTTTTCTCAATTTACCATCATTGAAATTTTGTGAGACTATGTATTTTATTCAGTCAGTTAAAATATATATAATGGTTCCCACATGGCTGATGGATAGTATAAAAAAAAGCATTAAATATGATGCATTTTCTTCAGATATTGCTATCTTCACAGCATATGCTTTGTAGGAAATGTGGATAAAGTGTCTTCATTCTTATGACAAATCCTCCAAAGCTTTCCATAATGTTTCATGATTCATGATCCTCAGTTCCTTCATTGGTAATTTCTCTGCCCTCTTAATACATTCTGTATTAACAGATTCCCTCTTGGATTGGCTGAAGTCATTCTTGGTTTACTTTTCTGGGTGTCCTGAATAAGAAACCAAACCTAGATCTCTCTCAGCTGCTTGCTTTCTTAGTGATGTTAATGGATAGCCTGAATATGGAGACACTGACAAGACTTGCTAATTATTTAACGTATGTTTTCCTGGGTATATCTGGCATGAAAATCATTCTTTGAAGGTAACCAGAGGCTCTGTGAACATTGCATTTCCACAATGGAATGAATGGCCCTTGAAAAACTTCACAGTTCATGAACTAAGACAGTGAAGAGGTGAGGTAACCTTGAATATAATTATGGAAAACAATTCCAGTACCCTTGAATACAACGATATTTGTCTATGGTAAAATTTTATAGTTTAGGTTAAAGGTTGCTACAGTACTATGTTGTGTGCTTATTTTTTTGATTTGATCCCATGGTGGAACTTGTTCTGTATGCAGGGAGTTATCTCTCATGGCCAGTCTCAGCTCCTGTTCCTGTATGGAGAGGGACCTTAGTAGTCCAGTAGTCAGTCCAGTCTTTTTCATAATGACACAAGTGAACTATTGATTAACAGACACTTTCCATAGGAAGTGACTTTGTTCTATTAAATATGCTATTATTGATGTAAAATACATATTCCTAGGAAATATGTGAGGGCTTGTCTAACTCCCTGGAAATTAAGTAGATCAAGAAAATATCTTAGAAATGGTGAGGCGTGAAATCTTTGTAGAGATAATGTCTTATCAAGGAAGCATTAAAGTATATTTTAAGCACAGTAAACATTTGGATTCCAAAATCCAAAAGAAGTGGCATAAATATTTTGATGAACAGTAAGAAGTGTGGCTGGAGAGGCTAGAATAGATGGGCTTGTTCAGCTAGGAGAGAACATTGCTTGACTCAAAGCAGTTGTTGGACAGTGTGGCAAAGGACATCCTGAAGAATTTGAAGGTTAGAGGTAAAAACAAATAGATATTAAAACTTTAAGCTCTTATCTGTCTTTTTAATATTAATGTGTTTATTTTATTATCTTTAAAATGAAAACAACATCTTTTGAAATCCTCCTGTTTTTGAGCAAAGATAATATCATGGTTATCACATAATTTTTGGCTTCCAGATATTGAATACTTAAGTATTACTGTTGTTGTTTATAGACCTAGTAACTATCCATCAGATGCTTAAGGTGAAGAGAATTCCAGCAATTGTTGTAACATTCAAATTTAAGGGCAAGTGTATTCAAGTTTCTTTGTGCAGGTCATAGTTAACATACATTTATATTTTTGTCTCCTTAATGATCAAAATATACTATGTTGAAGGCTTTGGTTCAGGAGAATTGATGAAAGTTCTTTAAGCAAGGTTGACTGTACAGGTTTGTCATACCTGCTTCCTAGTTTAGGCCTTGAAAACATTAAACATGTCTGGTGACTGTAATGCCGTGAGCTTAGGGACCCAGGAATGGTATGCCATTTAACAGCATCAACTTCTTAACAGTGTCATCTCACTAAGTAGCTTTTACAAATACCATTGAAACACTGACCAGAAATTTTTGTCTTGGATTTCTTGAGACAGAGCTCTGTTTTGTAGTTCAGATCTGTGCCAAACTCGTAATCCACCTGCTTCCACTCACTTGATGGGATTATAGGCCACAACACCCAACTGGAGTGAGGAGGGGAGAGTCCACAAGTGGAATCTAGGTTCTCCAGTCTTACAAGAAATAGCACTAGCAAGGACAGTTGTGCTGGACTGTCTAGGAAAGGGAAGAGGCAGGTTTGTACATTATATGCTATCTCCAGAAGAGTTCTATCACATACAAACATTCTGATATCTCCAACCAAACATTTTGGAAAAATCCCATTTACTGTGAGTGCTAATAATTTTTTTAAATATGAGAAGCTACTTCAAGGATTATTCATGTCCAGTTTCAAAATAACATAGGATTCAAGTGGATTCTGTGTGCATTCACTTCTGTCCTCACAAAAATGATGTGAAACTGTACTGCCAGAACAGTACTCTACTGTTCCTTCAAGTAGCCCTTATGCTAAAGCACAAAACCATGTGTGCTTTGAAGAGACCATTACTAAACTGCTTGTATGCTTGAGTATCTCATAAGTCACAAAATACCACTGTGTTCTCAGATACTGAATACCATATTAAATCAGTTGCCTCATACTTGGGAAGATGTCCTAAGTTTATAAACCCCTCACACACTGGGAATTTTAGAGTACTAATGAACGCTACTTCTACTGATCCCTGACCTGACTTAATGCTTTGATTGGTAGATTTAGGTTTGGTTAAAGTTGTAAAGGAGGGAAAGAGTTGACGTGCTACTTTTGAGTTTGAAATATTCTAGCTTCCTTAAGAAAACTGTTTAATAGTCTTTGGGGTGAGTCACTTATATGTACATTGATATAAGAATATAAGTATACATAGTATATATACACTATGTATATATTTATATACTTATATGTACATTTATATACTTATATGCTATGTACACGTATATACTCATATCCATGCAGTGTGTACTCTCCTTTATTTTCATGTCACTTCCTTGGCTGTATCTCCAACTTCTGTGACACTCTCAAAGAGCCTGAAGGGCCATGAGAAAGTGACCTCATGAATTATATGACTAAGTATGCTTTTGTATTTTCCTCTTGGAGATTTCATATTCCAATGGAAAGTTTCTTTTTTTCTTTTCTTTTTTTTTGTTTTTAATGTGTATGGATATTTTTGCTTGTATATGTGCCTGTGTGCAATGTACATACTATACCCAAGAAAGCTAGAAAAAGGTGTTGAATCTCCTAGAACTGTCGTTACAGAGGACTGTTAGCAGCCATGTGGGTGTTGGGAATTGAGCCTGAGTCCTTTGCCAGAGGAACCAGTGCTCTTAACTGCTGTGCCATCCATCTTTCTTGCCCCTCAATGCAAAGTGTTTTAATCTTGCAATGATTTCCTTTTGTCTACTTTCCAATTTTCAAACCACAAGGGTTTCCAAAATACTTGCTTTTTTGATTGTTCTTAAAGATTTATTTATGATTTATTTTTATTTTATGTGTATGAGTGTTTGCTTGCATGTATGTATGTACTCTTCTGTGTTCTCCTGGCACATGAGAAATCTAGAAGAGATCATTGAGTCTCTTGGAACTGGAGTTAGAGATACTTGCGAGCCCCCAAATGGGTGCTGAGAACTGACCAAGCCTGAGTCTTTTATGAGGCAGCAAATACTCTTGACTGCTGATCCATCTGTCTCTCCAGCTCCTTGTTTGCTCTGTTTCAGCCCTGTCTGTCATCTCTCTTTCTCTTCCCTACCTCCCCCTAAACAGAGAAGTATGTCATGTGATGTTTACAGAAAGTTTTCCTTATTTCTGACCCTGAATTAATTGATCTGGAAGATTTTATTTACCTATAAAAATCCCAAGTGTCACGTCTGTGATTAATAATTAAAGATGTTGATTTTTTTACTGTCATTTCCGAATATCTCAAAAGAATTGAGTTGCCATAAAATATCTTAGAAGTGCAAATGCAGGGAAATCTTTTAGTAAGAGATATCTTTACTGCATCTGTTCCTAAATGTATTGTCATTTGGGGTGAGAGTGTGTGTGTGTGTGTGTGTGTGTGCGTGCGCGCGCGCATGTAGCCAGCCAACTCCTTAAGACTTGAATTAGGTGCATAGCACAGGTACAGTGATATTTGAAAATAGACAAGGACAAAATGTGGTAGAAAGTCAAGTCATTGGTGCCAGAATAGCTTCCAGAAAGGTGGAGGAAATATGAAAGCAATAGCATTGAGATAGTAGAGTGCTTCATGTCTTTGGGGAATGGCTAGAAGGCCGAGAGTGAGAGCAGAATAAGGAAATAAGGAGCATGAAATGATTCCTGAAAAGCTCAGAGCCAGGTCATATTGGGGCTTTATGGACTGTAGTTGGGAGTTTAGGCTTCATTCTGAGTTAAGAAGCTAGCAGGAATTTTGAACAAGACAACTATGTGTATGTAATTTAAAAGAGCTTAAAGCTACTGTATGAATAAAAAATGTAAGATGAGGCAAAAGGTAGTAGCTGACTGAATCAGAGTCGTACCTTTAGAGGGAGTGATAAACAGTGAGATGTAGATACATCTAAGAAAAGAGCTAACAATTGTGCACCTTCTGGATTTCTGCTGAAAAGACAGTGATATTAATATTGTATGGTAAATTGAAAGCCTGCAATGGCCTTGTCTTATTTGACAGATTTTATCTAGTCAG